ATGGGCAAAATAGGTGAAGGGGAGTGGGAGGTACAGGCTTCCAGTTATGGAATAAGTCATGGGAAAAAAGGTTCAGCATAGGGAATACAGTGAATGGTACTGTAACAGCACTGTATGGGGACAGATGGAAGCTACACTTGTGGTGAGCACAAGATAACATATAGAGTTGTGTACATATGAAACTAATGTAACATTGTATATCAACTACATATGTCAATGAATAAACAAAACAAAATAATGATAAAAAGCATTTTGGTAGAAACACATACAACGGCAAATAAGTTTTCTAATTCAAACGTTTAAAAATACTGATTCTTATTTTCAATTAAGTTGCAAACTTTCTGTAAAAAAAAAAAAAAAATACTGATTCTTAAAACAAGGTTAGCCTGCTCCTCCCTCTCCCTCTGCCTGCCTCTCTACCTACTTGTTCTCTCCTCTCTCTCTCTCTGTCAAATAAATAAATAAAAAATCTTTAAAACAAAACAAAACAAAACAAGGTTAGGTTAAATCTTGACAGCTTACCAGAGGGAGCCAAGAAACCACCACCGCCCTTCTTCAGAAGACACTAAAACACCTCAGATTCTTTTCAAAGAACACTTCATTTTTTACCATGGGAAGCTTTACTCTGATCAAAGTGAAAGCAAATTTCATAATACAATATCTAACCTAACCTAAGAGAACTATCAACATCCCAAAACATCAAGAATCTTATATACAAAGGTAAAACAAAACATGGGAAAAATTTCAGAATGTTTGCAAACGTTTACAAGTACTGTATGTTCAATTAAGAATCAAGAACATATAAAATATAAAATAGGGGCACCTGGGTGGCTCAGTCGGTTAAGCGACTGCCTTCGGCTCAGGTCATGGTCCCAGGGTCCTGGGATGGAGCCCCACATCAAGCTCCCTGCTCCGCGGGAAGCCTGCTTCTCCCTCTCCCACTCCCCCTGCTTGTGTTCCCTCTCTCATTGTCTCTCTGTCAAATAAATAAATAGAAAATCTTTAAAAAAAAAAAAAAAGAACATATAAAATAATTACAAAAAGAAGAAGAATTATGTCTACCATAGTCATATAAAATAAATAAATATATACCAAGAAATCTGCTTAAAAATCACCTGTTTAAAAGATGAAATGGTCTGGCAAAATTGACATTCACATTATGTAAATAATTTAATTTCAATCTGTATTTCGAAGACTTTTATTTTTTAAAGTAATCTCTAGACCCAACATGTGGCTCAAAGTCACAACCCCGAGATCAAGGGTCACACACTCTTTGGGGCGCCTGGGTGGCTCAGTCATTGGGTGTCTTCCTTCGGCTCAGGTCATGGTCCCAGGGTCCTGGGATGAAGCCCCGCGTCGGGCTCCCCGTTCAGCGGGAAGCCTGCTTCTCCCTCTCCCTCTGCCGCTCTCCCTGCTCATGCTCTCTCTCTCTCTCTCTATATCTCAAATGAATAAATATTAAAAAAAAAAGTCACATGTTCTACCAGCTGGGCCAGTCAGGTGCCCCTCAATCTGTATTTTATTTTATTTATTTATTTTTTAAAGATTTTATTTATTTGAGAGAGAGAATGAGAGAGAGAGAGCATGAGAGGGGGGAGGGTCAGAGGGAGAAGCAGACTCCCTGCTGAGCAGGGAGCCCGATGCGGGACTCGATCCTGGGACTCCAGGATCATGACCTGAGCCGAAGGCAGTCGCTTAACCAACTGAGCCACCCAGGCGCCCTGTATTTTAAATCTACAATCAAAGATCACCACATATTAAGGAAGATAGAAACTTTTGAGTGGTAATACTATATGTGTTGTACATATGCTGAAAATTCAGTTCTAAAAACCTCAACTTTTTCATATATACTTAAAGGCTCTCGTATCAAATATGGAAATAAGACATTTAACCTGAAACACTAAGTATTTTATAGAATAAAAGCTATAAAAGTATTTTCAACACAAGGATTCTAGCCACTAAAGCCTGGGGGGTGGGGAATCTACCACTGCCATCACTATTGTTTACCATATACTGGATAACAAAAAAATTTAATTTCAAAAATTTAAAAATATTGAAGATGTCCTGCAATATTAGTAATCAAATAAACTGACAAACCTCCAGCATATTTTGAGTATTTCGCAAAAAACCTCAAAAAGAGAGAAAAAAAAAGAATACATTACTAGAATATTTCTGAGTAACATATGCTCAAATTGTCTTTTTTTTTAAGGATTTATTTTAAAGTTTTATTAAAGTAATCTCTAGACCCAACATGGGGCTCAAACTCATGACCCTGAGATCAAGAGTTGCATTTTTTCCGACTGAGCCAGCCAGGCACCCCATATGCTCAAATTGTAAAGTTGCTTGCCACACGTCTATAAAATGATTTTCTTTTCTTTCTTTTTTTTTTTGAGACAGACAGCACAAATGGGAGAGGGGCAGAGGGAGCGGGAGAAAGAGAATCTTAAACAGGCTCCATGCTCAGTGTGGAGCCTGACACAGGGCTGGATCTCATGACTCTGAGGATCACCACCTGAGCTTAAATCAAGAGTGGGAAGTTTCACTGACTGAGCCACCCAGGCCCCCCTAAAGAATTTTTCTATAGGAGTTTTTTTTTAAGTGGGGAAGGAAGTAAGCTACATTCTCCTTTAATTCTCAAAGCCTGTTTTATTTTGCAAATCAATTCAGCCCACACTAGTTCAATATGGTCATTAAACCTTTTCCCTTATGTATTTTTTTTTTTTTAAGGCAACAAACATTCATTAACTCACAGAGTTTCTGAGGGTTAGGAATCTAAGAGTGTCTTAGTTGGGTGGCTCCAGGTCAAAGTCTCTCTCGAGTGGCAGTCAAGTTCTCATCTCTATATATTACCTTTTAAAGTTATAAAACAAAGAATTGACTGCCCTGCCAAAGTTAAATTCCATGATCATAGTGAACTCAGTTCCATAACATTCATTTACATTGAAAAACCAACAATCTATCACTACAATTCTCACATTTTAGTGCATTTTTTTATGTAAAATACCTTCAAAATTGTCTAAATTATACAAACTTCACTTCCAACACTACATTTAAAGACATTTGAAGTCCTACATAATTGAGTTCAATTTGCTAAAGCAAATGAGCCTAATCTCATGAAGATTTCCTAAGGCATTAAAATAATCAGTATTTTTTAAAGTCAAAAAAGACACAAAATCTGAAGTCCTATGCAGTACAATAGAGAATTCACTAAATTATGTATTAACCATAGTACAAGATGAGCGAGATATATTATTCTTAGCCCCCTACTGAAGATCAAATTTGTTTCAATTTAATATTAGAAGTTAAGTTAAAGAAGCTAGGGACTTCAATTTCCTTTATATGTCTAAAACTGAAAGAGGAAAAACATTTCTTAACATTCTATCATAAAGGAAAAGTGCTAGAGAAACTTTCCTTCATAACCATGCTTCAAACATCGCTTTCAGTGCCTTGATAAAAATGTATCATACAGGGGCGCCTGGGTGGCTCAGTCATTAAGCGTCTGCCTTCGGCTCAGGTCATGATCCCAGAGTCCTGGGATCGAGCCCCGCATCGGGCTCCCTGCTTGGCGGGAAGCCTGCTTCTCCCTCTCCCACTCCCCCTGCTTGTGTTCCCTCTCTCGCTGTCTCTCTCTGTCAAATAAATAGAAAATCTTTAAAAAAAAAAAAAAGTATCATACAGGAAAACATAAGCTTCTAAATTAAATATTCCTTTTGGTATCTTTTCAATTTGATAGACTGCAATATGCAGTGGAAGTCCTCATTATTTGAAAAATTTCTAGAGTTAATATTAATTCTTCAAGATTATTCATATTACTAATATTTGTCATCATTACTACTTCTTTATAAGAAATACATGGCATTCAATTTCCTCAATACTTTAAAATCAATCTCCTATTTCCCCTTTCCCCCAAACAGAACGTTACTCTATTCGGTTTAGCCAAAAGAAAACAGCAAACACATCTTTGTGGTCTATTCTGGGAAATCAGTGTTTGGAAACCACTGCAACTGTTATTAATGGCTCAGAACCAAACACTGTAACAAAACACACTGAGTGGATCCTCCCTGTGTATGTACATGCGCCCATTCATAATAATGTGATCCTCACACATGCATATAAAATCTCAATTTCTATTGAATACCAGAACATCTTTACATAATACACAGGTTAAAAGAAAACTGCCCTCTTTAATGTTCAAAGCAAGAACAATTTCTAAAGCTAAGGATGAGAAGAGTTAATACCGGGATTGCTGCCACCTATCAACTTTAATTCAAAGCAAAGTACAACTCAATGTCATTTTTACCTCTAATGCTGCCACGCTGAAACAAAATTAACTTCACTGTGCGATAAAGTATCCTGGCATCCCAGGGGATTATTTACTTTCCTGATTTGACATTACATATGTGTGGAGTCTTCTGTCCCTCCCACAGCATCCCAGAGTGTCAACATCATCTTAGTCAAGGCAAATGACGGGCAAATCCCTCAGGTCATTACTTCGAACCTTAAGTACCAAAAAGTCATGGCCTTCATCGTCGTTACTACACAGCGAACACTGTAGAGTCCCATGCCCCCTTCTACTATATTTGGGGAAGCGGAGTGCGAAAGAAGCGCTTGGTGTATGTATCCTGAGAATTCTGTGTGTTCAGTCCTGGTACCAGAAACAGCATGAATACAAGTAATATGTGGGTCACCCACAGAGAGAGAAACAGACGAAGCTTCGTGACCCTCCAAGTTCAGTGAAGACACCAAAAGCTTCTCGGGAAACGGGGCACAAGCCTTCGGGGAAAGGGGGCAGAAGCAGAAGGTCTCCGAGGTGGAGTGACTAGATCTGGCACAAGCCCAGGGCGTGGGCAGCGACCGAGGAGTCTCTCGTACCCTTCCCCTCCGCACCAGGGTCGGTCACTCCGCGAGAGGTGCGGCCGAAGGAGGGGGTCAGGACTGGGGGAGGGCGGGGCCCGGTGCGCCCCAGCAGCGCCCTGGGGGTTCGGGGGGGTGTGTCCTACCTGGGCCGTGGCGGACGCAGGGATTTCGGGCGGAGGGCTCGGATCCAGCTCAGGGCCAGGACCCGCAGATATCAACCCTTGGCAGGCGGGACCGCCGCCGCCTGCCCATCCCCCGCCGCCGAGTGCGGCGGGACCCGAGCGCGGCTTCGAGGGCCGGCCGGCTTGGCAGTCCCCTCGGGTACCCTCCGCGTTTACTGGCGGCGGCGGCGGCTGCTGTTAATGCTGCTGCTGGCCGCCCCCAGCCGCTGCTCTTGTGCCAGCCCCTGTTCCTCCTCCTGCCGCCGCCGCCCCCGCCTCGTCCCCACCGCTCCCATCGCCGCTGCGGCGACTACTGCAGCGCCCGCTGACCCGACCCGACGTTATTCTCCCCCTTCGCAACCCGACACAGCCTAGCCCACCTGCCCTGCCAGTACGCACGCCCACCTCTCCGCCACAGGTGCTGATTGGAGAGCGCGTCCCGGGCCCGCCACGTCGGTTGGCTGGTCCCATTGCCTATCACGAAGTGGGCGGAGAGTCAGGCAGGGAGCGTCTCCGCCCCCCACCGGAGAATTGCCGCTATCTTCAGGTTTGCCTGAGAGGGCGAGTTACCGGGAAAGGAGCATCACAATGGCAGCGCGCATGTGCGCCGGAATTCTGGGCCTTGTAGTTCCAGCCACAGCCGCAACTACCCGCCGGTCCCGAGTCGAGAAGTAGAGCTTCTGAGACTAGTGGTTGGCGCACAGTGGTGTCCTCCTAGCTCAGTAGTTAACTTGCTTATAGGGGCATGATTGTGACCCCAGGATTGGGCTTTTTGGAAAAAAATCGGAAATGCGTTGTTACATTACGAATTTACACACTGAGACAGTCACGAAGAAGGGCCCCAAATCGTGAGGCCCTACCATGCCACCTCCTCAGAACCGGAGCTGCCAGGATCTGACAAATTGGCGCCGTCCCCAGAACCGCCTAACATGAAGCTAATCACTAGGGAGAGGCCTAAAGGTATAAGGAAGAAAGGAGACGGAGACCTCCAGAAAAGAATACCAGCCTGGAGCCCGAAGTATCCTTACGGTTTCTGCAACCCATGAAGAATGAGATTTCCTTCCCTTTTTAAAACACCCCCAGCAAAGGGTTCAATGAGCATCCCCTGCGAGCACCAGTTTGGGAATCTAAGCGCGGGAATGCGGGAGTCCCTCGAAGACTTTCAAGGAAAAACGAGGAGAGCAGAGCAAAGAGGTTGTGTGGGATGAATTTGTATTAGGTGTTGATTGTGTCAAGCTCTTTGGTGAAGAGGAAACCTTAAGATTAAACCTCTCCCATCCTCACCCACCAGTTTACAGAAGAAAAGTCTCAGAGATTTTACAACTTTCCAAGGCTATAAAACTGACCACTGGCAGAACCAAAACTCAGGTCTCTTAAGTTTACTCCTGTGCCCAATGCTTTTTTTACTTAATAATCAAGGGACTGAAAATATGCAATGATTTGTGAGCTTCATTTTATTTTAAATCTTCTTCTTCACTCAAGTGACATTATGATTAAAGCTGATTAATTAGGACTATGGAAAGGTTAAATATAAATCCCATATTCAATCTCTGAACTGTTATAGAATCTGTTTCTTCTTGTTCAGGAAATGCCACAGCCTCTCGACATTCTTTAAAAAACAGCAGATACCTCGACTGTCTGTCATGTCTAGATCCTTGGATGAAAAACAGGACAAAGTGTACATTAAAGGCAATTGATGATGCAGCTCATCTTGTTCTATTCAAACTTAAAGAAGATGCCAAATCATTTCCTTTCCACTGATTAAAACCACAAGTTGTTTTCCCATTACTTTGTCTCACAGAATATAGTTCACAATATTGACTGGGCACGTAATTTGAATTGGAAGGGATTAGGGTTTCTGCAAATGCTTTTCTTTAAAATTAAATAAGTTTTTAGGGGAAAAAAGTCCAGATTCATTGAAATTATGCCTGGCAATATTTCAAATAGCTATTCTCTATTCAAAGAGAATATTTTTCACTCAGCAAATACAGTGTTCTCTTCAAGCTACCCAGATATAATCTCTGCTATCATGGATAAGGTTTTTGTTTGTTTGTTTTGGGGTTTTTGTTTTTTTTTTAAGAGGTGGGAGAGAGAG